ATGCACCTGTGCCACGCGCTTCAGACCATGCGTTTCAGATCGTTAAAATAGGGCCCTTCGACTCTGAGGTGAAAGGTTCTGGGTTCAATTCCTAATGTCTGCAGCCTAACCTGTAGGCATCTTTGAGCAAGATGCCCTAACTGCTACATGCTCCTTAATGACGTGTATGTAAATCAATTCACTGTAAGCTGCTTTGGATAGTGGAGTCTGCTAAATAGTAAATAATACTGAATGGACTGACATGGAGGAAAAGGAATAACAGAATAACAGATAGCGTCCATCTTAGCCCAACCCTTTTTGTCAGGGTTCAAACTCCTTATACTAATAATATACTGAGGGTTTGAACCAGAATAAACTAAAAAGATAATTTATTTCTACTCTACTCTGTCCTATAATATAATATTATTCTACTCTACACTACTCTGTTCTGTTCTATTATATTCTACTGTATTATATTCTAAACAAATGTCCCTCAGAAAGCAGTCGGGTCTCCAACCGCAGGGTCTGCAGTGCGACCCCCGGACCACCCGGTCTGTCACATGTGTGGGGCCACAGAAGAGCACAGAGCCATTCCCCCTGAGCTCCTTCCCTGCAACAATGGAGCACTGGGCAGGCAGGAACCAGGCCAGGAACCTCCAGACCACAGACTGGAGCTCCAGAGACAGGGGAGCTAACCTGTCATTGTCCCTGAGCATTTAAACACCGTTTGGGGAGGAGTGGGCGGGGAGAGAGGCCCCAAATGAAAGCCACCGTCGTAAACATAAAGAGGAGAAATGACTACCTGCAGAAGAAGCAGTCGCCGCGGTGGGTGTAATTATTTCCCCCCTAGCCGGCGTTTAGCTGGCGGTGAGACCGGAGGGATCTGACACCACGGCTTTTAATATTAGCTTTGATGTTCCTGCATAGGTACACCTGTTGAAGGACTGCACATCAGATATATCAAACACGATACACCTGTTGAAGAACTGAACTTGTCAGAGATATCAAACCAGATACACCTGTTGAAGAACTCAACATATCAGAGATATCAAACCCATCAAAAGTTCAACACCTGAAATATCTATGTAGATATTTTTCGGACCAGATACACCTGTAGAAGACTTCTGCATCAGAGATATCAAGACATTCTGTAGAGGATTTACTGGCTTACAAGAAATATGCCTTCTCTGCTCGGAGACAAAGAAAATAATGGATTTGAATTGAATACCATTCAAGCTTTTTTTTTAAATGTAAGGAGACAACGTGTAGGCTGCTTGGCGTGTTGTGGTGAGGATGCACATACTGTCCTGTTGAGAGCTTTCCTTGGCTGAGACACTGGGAGTACGTGTAGAGGAGAATCCGACTGCGAGCTGCAGGACTAGCTAATACAGACCCAAGATTTTCCATTTTCAACAACATCCTATAAGGACCCACCAACAGCAAAACAAAAACACAGCAATTACCGAAGATCACCCGGAGTCCTCCTGACCGCTGAGACAAAGAGCAAGACGTCGGCAGACTAACCTCTCTGAGTATTTTTAAACCCTTGAGTGCTGACGGCCGACAGCGTAGGACTTTTTTGGCCTACATTTGTCTTCCTTTAAAGTAAAAAAGAAAAAAGGCTGCCATACGTTCTGAGTCTCACATCTGGTTTGAATCGAAGGAAAAATGCAGTGGACTCCTGGGTGCCAGGCCGCCTCTGGAAAGGCAATGCCTGCAGAATCCAGAAGGCAGGGAAGGCCTGTGTATGTGTGTGTGTGTGTGTGTGTGTGTGTGTGTGTGTGTGTGTGTGTGTGTGTGTGTGTGTGTGTGTGTGTGTGTGTGTGTTTGTGTGTGTGTCAGTAAGCTCAAGGTCTAGATAGAACCGGTGTAAACAGAGACTGTGAGAGAAAGGTTATTTTCAAACCAAGACTAGGTGACCATGACATGCATTTCCTTTATTTGCAACATCAATATTTATTGACAAAAATGTCCTGGATTCCCCCCTTAGGAACCAATAAAGTATATATTATCTAATCTGATGAAGATCATTATAAATAGGCAAAAGGGGAGGAGGAAAGGAACCAAAGTTAGGAGTAGAGGGTGAAGATTTGAAACCCTATTCCAATTCTAAAGTACTTGGTCTCTTAAAGCCCTAAGGGGTAAGCAGAGTATTGTTTCTTGGTGTCTCCGCTGTCTTAAAGACCCTAGGGGTTAGCTTGGAGCTGTATCTTGGCTATAACAGTGGCAGAGGTTACTCTTTATCTATGAACAAACAAACATGGCCTCTCTTCTTGGGACCATCCCCACTCCCTTCTTTCCCAAGAAAGAGTTATGACCAAACATGGACATCCTTGCTCCCGACAGTCTTCCTCTGGTCTGTGAGACCACTGGACTGGCCGGCATCTCTTTGGAGCAGAACCTTAACCTATGGCTGGTACCCTCGCTGGGGGAACATTCAACCGGTGATACCATCAGTGGATGTTTGCCAGTCCAAACTGGAAAACATCCATCTTGTTTCAAACTGACCAAGAACTCAGATCACTTGCCAAGGCTACCACTGTAGATTTTCAAATACAGAATTTAAAATTCCTGGTGAATACAAGATAGAGGAGCCTTAACAATTTATTAGAACTATTTTTACAATACAGTACTGGTGCTTACTGTCGACGAAGTATATATAATATTTGTTACACTCAGGGTTCATTCATTCCAAGCAGAATGCTTAGAAAGTCGGCAAGCCTTTTACTGGCTGGCGGTATCAGCTCCCGTGGGGGGAATTAGGTTTTTACAAGACCGGCTCACAGAAGGAGGCCATCCAGTACAATTTCCCCCCGGCTAGAAAAATGATGCTATCATTTCTTAGCGCTGTTATAAGCCAGACACACATCCTACCTATCTCTGGAACCTTTCTCTGAATAAAATATCAGCGGGCTTAGGGACATAGTCGCATGAATAAAGTTCTCCGAAGTAACATAAACAATACAAATGATCGTAACCTTTTCACGACAAACGTGATCGATCAACGACTTACGACGGAACCCAGAGCTACTTATGAGACTTGGAACGGAGGATTTGTCGGAACTATGTCTTCCGCAGTTTAGTAGCTTATCCTGTCTTTCCAGAGGAGTGGCGTTGCTCTGCTTCAAGACTGAGGGATAGAGCGTTTTAGTCCCTGGTTGCACTGTAAGCAGAACTACTAATGAAGGCTTCAGGCACGTGTCCCGACCACTGCCCCAGAGTATGGGCAGCCCAGAAGCACTAAAACAACCCTGGGTTTAAGACATCAGGTCACTCCCAGGTGGTCTCCTTGCCCAGCTGGGTCAGCAGAACTAACCTGATGTTCTGGACTTGAGTCCACACAGGGCCTCATGGCCACACACACTACTACACACCCCATGGCCACAACTGCAAGCAATTATTACCCAGCACACACACACACACACACACTCCTTCGCGCTCAGGGCTCGTGGCTGCACCGGTGCCGGCTGACCTTGAGGTTAGCACCTAGACAGGAAGTACGCTTTTCTGTTTTCCAACCGTATTTGGAAATGTGTCTAGAATTTGTGCAGAATTTTGTGCAGGTTAGGTTCTGACAATGGTACTTTTCGGCTGGGAGTCAAACACTCTAGCCTCGAGAGAAACTATCCTTAAAACATCTTCGAGGATTATCTTCTCCCTCGACCAACTGCCCATGTTGTGTTTTGAGAGGAGAGAAGTAGGCGTTACGTTCTCCAAAAAGAAGCGGAGGAACCTGCCAGCTTGCGAAACGACTGCCAACTTGTGAAACGACCGGGATGAGTAACGTCAAAGTCATTTCCAGGATATTCAACCATTTTTCCTTCTCCCACTTCGACACTTCTCCGTGGTAACGTGTAAACAATGCCCTCATCCCCTTCGGACCATAAAACTCTTGGCGATGACATCAAGGCGCTGGACTGAAGCTCAGCAGAGTTCAGGGAGGCCAGAAGTAGACCTCGCCGAGGGATATGTCAACAGTAATAAGACTGCTGTCCTACTTTCAAACACCATGAACTCAGCGTCAACTCTCGGCCTCGCGGTGCATCTACAGCGCAGACAGATAATGCAGGACCGGTGCGGACCGTCTCGCTTTCCCCGGGTCGGGGGAATTGTCGACTGACTTCAGTTTCAAGACAGCCGGTAATTTGGGACCTGGAGGAATGAGGCTTTATTGCATTTGCAGTGCATTTTGGAAACCCGATCATGCACAGTGTTTTGAAACTTTAATTCTAAAGCACAACATTCTGCATGATTATCTATTGATGGATTTAATTATAGGATAAAACTTTATGCGGGCCAGTTCTTCTGCTTGGACCTCTGTGGGTCCGTTTTTCCATCTCCAGCTCATTTCCAGCTCATATTCTTTTATGCAGCGATGAACCAGGAACACGATTTACTGCCAACTGTGGCTGAAAAAATGAGTTGATTTTGGCTAATGTCACTCTGAGTTCATCCCTGCTTGTCTGTGTGAGTAAAAAGAACATTTACACACATTTGCACACTCAAACACACACAAACACATGTAAACACACACACACAGATACAGAAGACGGAGCGCTTTGACACAACGTAAACAAACAGATGAGCGACTGCAGGCATTCTGGAGACAATGGAGGACTTGTACAGACAGAGCAGCCGACACACACACATACACACACACACACGCACATACTCACACAGGCAAGTACAAACAGACACACACACATGCATGCACACACATGCACAAACATTTGCATGCATGCACACTCATGCTTACACACAGCAGCAGTATGCTTTAATACATTTGTAGGGGCCTGTGTGTAGTAAGTATTCACCATTGCTGGCTTCCACACATACATAAATACATGTGATGAGATTAAACTACTTCACATATTAAAGTAGAGGAACATTAACCAGCATTATTAACTATTTTACTATTTTGCAGATGATTTTATCCAAAGTGACTAACAGTGAATTATATATGCATGTCATTAGGGAGCAAGTAGGGGTTAGGGGCCATCTTGCTCAAGGATGCCTACAGGTGCAGACATCGGGGATTGAACCCAGGACCTTTCGGCTGGGAGTCAACCTAACCACTAGACTATCCTGCCCCCGCGCTCTGGGTTTAAACCCTACAGCAGACGTACTGCGAAGCCACCGTTCCTTCTCTCGGACTCAGCGTTACGCAAACAATGACCTCATCCCCTGTGGCTGGGAAGGAATGTCAGCTGATGATGAAAATGAGTTTCCAATCAGAGCTAAGAGGAGAGCAGCATCCCATCTCAGCCCCTCTGTTAGATCTGAAGACTGGAACACAGACCCCAGCCACCCCATTCTGGAGTCCATGGAAACACGTGTTAGAAGACCCCCCTCCACACACACACACACACGTATGCATTTATGCACACATGCATATCCCAAAATACACACACACATGCACACAGAGACAGACACAAACACATGCACGCACAAACACACATACATGTTTGCATATACACACCTAAATGCACACACACACACACACACACACACACACACACATACGCAGCTCACGTTAACCTTCACATGCATGCCACGTGCGTGCTGGAGGTGGTGACAGCTCTCTACAGGAAGGCCAAACACTGTGATGGATTACAAGAGGATCAGGACTTACTGGAGAGGTGGAGAGGGGCTGGGTCGGTCGGTCAGTCGGTCTCTCTCTCTCTCTCTCTTGCTCTCTCTCTTGCTCTCTCTCTCTTCTACACACACAAACACATTTATGTGTGTGTTAATACTCACAGAGGTACCAGTGCACATATACACACACAGCCACCCACAAAACACGGACACACCCACACACACACACACACACCTTTTGACTTCACACACCTCAGACACATGGCCAGTGTTTGGTGTCTCATAGGTCCTCAGATCGACCCCGCCGACAAAAACATTCTGTCAGCACGTTTGTACTCGCTCCTGCCGGGTCGATGAGTTTCATCTTGTAGCATCCTGGCTAGAGCTCACATCCCAGAATACTAAACAAATGTGTGGATCTACACACACACACTTATCACACACACACAGGTACCGGTGCACATACAGACACATACCCACCTACGCTCGCGCATGCATGCACGCACACACACACACACACACACACACACACACACACACACAGACACACACACCACTGAAACATCAAACGTCATCTTGGAAACAGACGTTCAGTTCATGAGTCGCACTGTTTTAGTTTTCTTGACTTTGCTACGAGAGCACGGCCATCTGTCAGCCCCTTATCTCTGCTGTCAACGGTGTGTAGCTCTTTATCATGCAGCCATGCAAAACACCATCCGTCTCTGCCACGCATGTTCATTACCGCTGATAAAATGCAAAGTCCCCGCCAGCCTTGTTAAACGCACACACAATGCTAACACAGGTGCTGTGGGTAAACACTGATAGCATGGCTGAATTATGTTGCTTCCCAACCAGGCCTGACTATCTCGTTTTCCATCTCCTAACCAGACTACACACCCTTCGCTCTTGTCTCAACGCATCTTCATTCAACCACTCGCCGAAACACGCTGCATTCTGGGTATGTTGGATTTCAAGATGAGCGGGTAAAATGGACAAAGATTTGGAGAAGCTGGTGGCAGTTTAAACAGTGGCAGTACATTGGGTAAAATGTTTGTTGTGCATGTTGATGATTATCGATAAGGCCCAACATTAGCAGGCTGTTTGGCCAATATACAGCGAGTTTGGAGTATGACATGGGATTATTTTCATAGTTGTCAAGGTAGTAATTAAAACAAATGATGTGTATTAAAAAGTGTAATGATTGTATTAGTGTCTTAATAGTTGTGTACTAAAGGGAGGTATACTTCCTGGCTGGTCTCCCTCTTTATTGATTGACCCTGGGGGATATCAATCTATGGATTCCATCTATTATCTATCTACAATACAACTATTATCTATCGACAATACATCTACAAAATCAATTTCTGCATCAAATATATATATTTCAAATAACCTACATTGCAGCTTTTCTTTAATCTTAATTTTATACGGCTTCCGGAAATATTGCTGTATTTCACATTCCGATATCAATATACACTTGAAACTGCAACTCACATTGTACGGCTCTTCAACAGCAAACCGATTTCCACAAACTTCTGCAGATCGCTACATGCTCTAGCGCCCCATGCTATACATGCTATCAGACCAAAGCACTGCACATATGACAATGATGGTCACCACCCGGGGCGACTGGCAGCGGAGCCTCCAAACCTTAAACCCCAACAGATTTCCACTCAACAGCCCAATGAGGGATGGGGGAAGTAGCGGAGCGGGAGGAGGAGGTGACGGTGGTGGGAGGCGAATATTTCCAAAGTGAGGTCATCCTTCTGACTCCTCATTGGCTGTGCCCGGTGCTTTGCTCACCGTGTGGCGTCCCTTCTGCTCATTGATTTGATTTCCAGTGCGGTCGTGTTTGAAGCTAGCTGCCCCTTGTCCCTTCAAGCGTTGCGTTGATCGCTAGCGGATGGCGGAGCTCAGAAGATGAAGCGTTGAACAGCTTCCTGATGTTTGCCAGATTCTCCAAGAATGGATTAAATGTGTTGAGGATGCAGTTTAGCATTTCAGGCTCAATCCATAGAAAGACTTGGGACTTGGTAACCCATTTCTCTTCATCTAAGAGGAGAGCTTTGTTTTGACCTATTAGTTACACAAAACCATGCTAGCGCTATGTTTATACCTCTTAGCTATATGCTAGTGATACCATGCTAGTGCTGTGGTTTCGCAATTACGGGCTACACAATAATACCATGCTATTGTGACATGATAGCATCATCGTGACACTCGGTCAACTTAATCAGAAGCGATTTGTTCCTGTGGGTAAATTGGTTTGCAAAGGTATTTCGTTATAATATCATAAAGAATCACTAAAAGATATACTCATACACATACCATGCTAATCAATGGATGATTGGCCATTGACGTCAACCTCTGCATGATTGTTGAGCCTTAGCTCCAGCCAACAGGGGACTGACCTTGGCCACTTGCTTTCCTTTAATGAAGTTACAGTACAACAAAACGTTTGTGATGACAGATTGAGGTTTATCATGCTGTCCACAGAAACCCCACTGACATATGCTATTTGTACGGTGAGGGAGTCCGCGACTGCCAGACGATTTTGCTGAACAAAACAACCTCAGCGCTGACACTCTGCGCTAATGGAGGCCTATGTGCCATCTGGTAAGTGTGTTGGGTGTACCTGCTCTGATCTCGTCACTCTGGAGCGAGTTATGTGTCATCACCATGCAGATATCCCGGGATAAATACGCTGTGGTGTTGTGAACCGTCTGTCCCACAATACAACAAGCCTCGTCGTCGCCTCTGGTGATGTCACCGCGGTGGAGCACAGAACCGGAGGACACGGTTCCCTTTTCCACACATTCTCATTCACACTCCATCAACCAGCGGTTGTCAGCCATTTAAGGCAACATGTGGCTCGTCGAGAGCAGGGTTAGGATTGGCCAGGAGTGTTGCTTGTGGATACTAGTAGCAACCCTTCGGTTCAGAGACGGCCCTGCTCCACCTCCACCTTTACTATTTAGTCACGACGCATGATGCCTACAGGTTAAGCAGGCTGGGAGTCGAGAGCTGTTCGTATCTCTTTGTACGTTTGCAGTTTGAGGGTTAACCAGGGAAGGAGGCTCTGCAGAATAACACCAGGGTCTACAGGAGAGAGTGAGCGAGTGGTGGTATGCGCCGAGCCATCCACTAACATTAGGGACGTTGGCCTCAATTGAAGCGTCCCTGTAGCAGCTCGATGACAGATGTGCCTATGAGCTCTAACACTCCCCTCTCTGGGTCTCATCCCTTTCTTCTACTCCTCCGGAGCAAGGAGCCAAGAACCCATCCATCGCCTCGCTCGTAAATCAGCGCCATGCCTCTCCAGCACCGGCAGCCATCCTTTTATAGCCACTCCAAGGACACTTTCCCCATGTAAGGCTGCTCCACGCCGCCCGGGCGCCAGGACCGACCACGACGCCGGATTGAGGTGTGATGCTGTAGAGTCCCTCCATCACCGGCACCACCAGCTGCACCACAATCAAAACAATCACAACCCCCACCGACCCTAAATCACAACCGCCCAACCATTACCTCCACCACCACCGGTAACACCACCATCACAACCCAACCTCTTCCAGTAACTATGGCTGTATTACCAAAACTACCAAAATGCACAATGTCGCTTGCATTTCAACCACGCGCGTTGGAGCGTGCGTCTGTGTGTGGCTGAGCGCAGGCATCGCTAGGTGATCTCTGCTCTGTGTATCCTGGTTCTATATCCCTAGAGTTATGGAGCAGCGATCTGACACAAGCCTGCGGGCCTGCCTCAGCCTGCCTACACTAAACACTGTATTGTTCCTCCAACCAAACAGCAGATAAAGCCAAGAGCGTGTTTGGATGTGTGTGATGTGCATCTTACAACCAGAGAGAAGAGGGAGAGAGAGAGACACAAACAGAACAAAGTGGGGGGAGCGAGAGAGGGAGGGAAGAAGAGAGAGAGAGAGTGAGAGACGGAAAGAGAAAGAGTGTGAGA